TGCTTTTCCTATGTCTGTCTACACTTCCTCTTTCATCTTAGCTGCTTTCAGCGAAGACCAAAAACAGCCCAAGTTACCTTGTTGTAAATATATATAGACCCCAAGGTCCCAAAGTGCTGTACTATTATCTGTTTCCTCCAATAATGCAGCAAATGCAGACCTAGCAATAGAAGAAGTATTCCAGCAGAGGCAAAGTTTCTGCTGCCTTCCTTAGGAAGAAGGAAAGAAAGCATCCTAGTCAATCTCCATGAAAACAGTTTGCACGACTTGTGAGCAGCCCACCCAGAGCCTCTTCAGATTTCAAGTCTGCAAGAAGGGAATTTTGGAATCTGCTCCAGAAACTCCTGAGAAAGAGAGAAAACCCCCGAGAACAAGAACAATGGCAAAAGATAAAATGGGCAGAAAAGTCCCGACAAACTCAGTATCAGGATCAAACACTTATTAGCTTATCATAAATTGATAATAAGGGATTTTACACTCATCTGATTTATAATCCTAAGAGTCAGCTCCTTACAGGTAAGATGCTGGCTTCTCTACACTAGACCTGGTCCTTAGATGGTATGAAGGTGACAGTTTGTTCACATCAGCGCAGATCCCAGGGGGACATTTCTTTGGTGAAAGGTGGCTAAGAATTCCACAGCAGCTACCCTGCTTTATCAAAGTCAACATACAGCTAAAGCATACAGAAAACACGTATCAGCTATTGCGTACCAAGCACCTTACAACCAGATATACATCCTTTGACATGAAACCATGGCTTTCAGTCCCGTTTTTAAGGCAAGGGGGTTTATAACAACTTATTTATATTCAGAGGTTAAATCTCATATTTGTGAAGTGCTGAGATTATTTGTACATTTGTACTACTCAAATTAAATTGATTTAAAAAATCTTATTGGTGTGTGTAGATGTATACACCTGTCCTTTATGCATATAAATTTGTTTATTAATAGAGCATTTTTTAAAAATCATTACTTCTTTGAAACATACTTAGAAGTTTTAAAAGGTGCCATGGTCATATGATAAATAATGGCTAAATTATGAGTTCTTAAAATGTCAGAATGGCAGTAATAAATAGATCAAAGACTTCCCGATGCTAATATCCATATGAGTAATAAACAACAGTTTTTCCTATCCTGTAATGCATGTCATGGTTCTGATCCATAAGGCTTCACATTTTTTTGCCTGCACACAGGCACGCACATGCTCACAGAGCAGATGTGAAAGTCACAAGTCTCTAATGTAATTCATGCTCTGGTTCAGCAACTGTGAGGGTATGCTGAAGACAACGCTGTGACTAACACGGCCAAAAAATTCCTGAGAGAATAAGAATGATTGTTAACAGTTCTGAGAAACTCTTCCTCTGGGTTATTATCCCATAGAGAGATATAGTGGGTTTTTGCTGTCTTAACCAAACAAACAGCTCTGAGAAACTAGACATATTCCCTCTGAGATTACAGCAAATGAAAACCAAAAAAACATCTTATGTTAAAAGCGGTTTGAAGCACTCATGATACTGTCAGTGAAGTACTTGGACTTCCTCCTGCTTTGTGCATCAGGTCAGAGTTTCCATACTCCCAAAGGAAACTATGCATCGGCTGAAAAAAAGAAAGTCCCATTTACCCTACTGTTATCTTTTCACAGGTGGCTTGATTGAACAGGGGTGAGGCATGGGCACATATAGTGACTATTACAGCCACCAGAAATCAATAGAGTAGCAACTCAAATGGGTGACTGTTTAAATTATTTACATCTGGGACACTCTGCTCACACACACCAAAGTAACTGAAAGAGAAGTTGCTTGAAAACTGTATTTTCCTGTAGCTTTCTCCAACTCCTTGAGCTAGCTGGCAAATGAAAGATGTGATCCAGTCCCAGGGCACTGAAAGCCAGAAACAAAGTAAAAAGCTACCTGACTAATGGCTTAAGATCATTTTAAGATTTCAGAAGTGTCAGCCTCCTTTTTTCTAACACCACCTCCTTACATTGCCTAAAGCAACTTTGCCATCCTAAGACAAGTTAAACACACAAAGTAACACTTTCTTATATACACGAAGTAATGAGCAGTAACTATTTCCTCAACTGCCTCTCATGCATTTTAAGCTATATTCAAGCAAATCAAGTTAACAGGGTAGATGGGGAGAAGAAAGTTTTGTGACTCAGAAGCAAGGCTACAACTCAACTGTTGGTACTCCCACCGATTTCCCAGCTCAGTCTTCTGTGCTCCTTTTGTCTCAAAAAATAACACCAGTAAAAATATTTCTAATATCTAACCTTTAAGTTTTCTGTGTTATATTTCTTAGTGTGCTGAGACTGCGATTAGCACAATCAAGCACTGGTTGCAGGCTGAAGTTCATTACTGGTGCACTACTGTGGCTCTGTTTGCTGCTACATAGCATCAGAGCATCCCTTAAGAGAACGTTTGATAGCATCACTCATCTATCTGCATTGTCATACAATCCAGATGGCTGCAGAATGTAGGCAACTGGGAACCAGAGCAGCAGGAGGAGTACATCCTGCTGCAATTTTCTCTCTGGTGCTAATCTTGATGCATTTAGCTTAGTCCGTTGGTTAGGAAGTCTACAGCTCTGGGTAGAGGCACCCGAAGACCTAGCAAATGAAATAAACGGGAGCAGCTGCACTCAGTAGCTTGCCAACTACCAAGTGACCCTACTGTGCAGAGTGAATTTTCTTTTGAATTCCACAAGGGTGGCATTCTGTTGCAAATGGGTCTGTTATTAAAGATCAACTCAGAAATCTGTGTACTTTAGCAGATTAACTATTACTATGATGTACAAACCTAGAGACAAAGAGGAAACAAGACTTCTTCCATTTGGCAAATGCAATTTTATTTCTGGATTAGTTGTAAGAGTTAAAATTTTAAGCATTCTAACATCTGTACCCTGCCAGACCCATTAATTGGCATACTGGAACAATACTGCAAATGAAGAAAGTCAATGTAATTAATCATCTCTATATAAGCACAGAGTTCTCAGGAACGTAATTATTATTTTTCTGTGCTACAGAAAGCAGGCTTTCCAAACCTTGAAAAGGCAAGACTTCAGTAAGAATTTGATATGCCAAAGAACTATAAACTGCCTCTCATTAGTCCAGGTAAGAAAAATCTAAACACAATACGAAAAACAGAATACAAGCTGGCAGATACAAGGAAGGAAGGAAGGAAGACAATGACATTTCTAAGGAGGTATCTTCATAATATAAAGAAATTACTAAGTCTACAACTATAATCATACTTATGTAAAGCCAGGTTAGTATAGATTTTATGATCTTAAGGAATTTACTTAAACAGAAGACATACAGTCTTCATACAACCAAGAGCGAAACGTTACACTTAGTGACTTCCTGCACATTTTAATCATGTATATAGCCTCACTGAGAACAAAGTACATAACTGCAGTCTGTGAATCACACCCAAATTTTCCACCCATGACTATATGACCAAGTAATTTTTGCCACCAATAGAAAAACTTGGTAGTATAACTGTCACTACACATTATGATTTTATCTGGACTACTTGCTAGCTATTTACTTTGCTGGTAGAGAAGATTCTTTACACTGTATAAGCATCACCAAAATTATTCTTTATAATGCTAGCACTCCTGGTATTACTGGTTCTTCCACTGGCAGGGTTTTTATACTCAAAACAACTCACAACTGAGCAACAGAAATGGACATCAAGAGAGATACAAGAATATGAGTGAGAACAGAATTTACCTATACAAAATTCCCATTTCCCCAGGGAAAATCACTATGTATAGAATAAAAATATAATCCTTTTTGCATCCAAACTGGCCTGGGAACGTGTAATCACAAGTGCTGCATGTGGGAACAGACATCTGTGTTCTTTCTTCATTTGTCATTTTGGTGTCTATTTCCAGGAAAATTGGAAGAGAATTTTCAAAATTTGGCCCCCCCAAAACAGCAAAAAATAGATTGAGCTCTCACAGACCAAATGATGCTCACTGGCAGTCCTTCTCAATGGCCTTGCAAAAGTTTTTTGCTGTATGTCTATAGAATGATTTGAAATTACTCAAGTTACCTGAAGAATCTGAAGTCTCTAGTTCAATTTACAGGTCTGATTGCTCACATTTCTTTCAAGTAAAGATGCATTTCATGTGGTTATTGATTTTCTATTAATTTACAGAGCAGCAGGTTTCTGCAGGGGAAAGACTTAATTTCTCCAGTGTAGCCTTCTTTAAAAAAATGTCCTGCAGAAAAAGAGAAGAAGAGATAATGAAATAGATGCTGTTAGCTGTAGTGCAATTTTTAATCTTTCTGGTAAGCACAATTTTATACAACTGGATCTCAACTGAGTAATTTTGATTTGTATTGTAAGTAATAATTGAGAAGGCCACAAATACCCACATGCAACAAGAAATCTTGCCTTGGTTCTTCTAGAGATCTATGACTGTACTTAAAGTAATTACAGCATAGAGAAACCCTACACAGTAAACTGAGTTTGTGACACAAGGATAATTTCAGGACAAACCCGTTGTATAGCGACAAATTAACACAGGCAAACTTTAGTGAAAACCAAACAGTCATGAATACTTGTTTACAGGCACACTGTCGTATAATACAAATGGAAACTTGTTCTTTGGACAAGCCTTAACAAGGAAGCAATTTGTAGTTACTTATACATTTATGAATTCACAAAGCCACAGCAGTGGTCCACAGATAAGGAAAAAAATTAGATTAATCCTACTTGTTTAGGCAGGGCCTATTTACTTCATAGTCTGGCAGATGTTAAACCAATTCTGCAGAGGACCTCTAAGGGACATCATGAAGTAGAAACTAAATACTTATATTTTAATAGGACAGGCATGGCAAAAGCCCAAAGAACACTCCAGCATGCCAGGAACAAAAGCAAGCGTGGCATGCAATGCACAGGCAGGCACATGCTGAAAAAATAACGCAGCCTCACAATGGACAGTCATGTTAACCCAGGTCTGGCTATTCACCATGAGGGAACACTGCAGTGGCTACAGCTGCAGGAGATACCCTTGTCTGTACACGGGTGCACTGCCTTCAAAAACCTTTCTCTGTGTGTTGGGACTGACTGTTGATGAGGGAATAGTAGGGCTAAATATACAGGATATGAAAACAAAAATAACAGTGACAGTTATTTCCTTGCTTGTTAGTTTATACTCAGGTATTAAACACAATTTTACAGCAATCTTCAGTTGCTGTTAGCCAGTAAAACTATACTGATTTACAGCAACTAATACTCCAGTATTCTACACAGAACAAGAGTCTGGGTTAACAGTGACGATGAAACTTTCCTCTGCCATTTTACTTGGCAGTAAGGATATCTTCAAATCTTTTCCTTCAGTCAAGCTAGAAAACTTTGGTCTTGCTTTTAAAACTGTTTGTCCAAAGTAAAGCAAGTTGTATTGACTTGATATCTCTATCACGCTTTAAGCCATAGATTCTTGTGTTTCACACCTATGCTGATTATCTTTAAAAAAAAAAAAAAAGGACTGTGAGTGTCACAAATTGCCAAGACACCCAAATCACGTCACTCTTGTGAAAATTTTACACTTAGGTTGGCTTAGGCAAGTGTTACTATCCTTAGGCAAGGACAGTAACCGCAATCTAATCAAAAAAAGTGACAAAACAGAATTAAATGTCTGGTTGTGATGAAGAATACTTATGGACATTTGTTTCCCCAAATTATGATCCATGAGACCACAGTAAGTGATCCAGACTGAAGTAATTAATTTCTAAAAAAAAAAAACCAAACCCAAAAAACAAACCAAACCAAAAAAAATCCTCAATCTTTAAACTGAAAGTACGTGTAGTCACGTACAACCAATTCTGAGAACCACCATTTTGTAAAGTCTGGGAACCACTGCTGTAATGTATGATAGCTACTTACAACTATCAAATTCGCAACCATGTGGTGCAGAAGGTTACATAGTCCACAAGAAGTAAATACTTGAAATATGTCTGATAAAAAAAGCAAACTGTATAGACTAATGTTACTAGCCTTTTAATCCCCAGAGAAAGAAAGCTTATGCACTTACATTTCATCATCGTATTCCTTTGGAGGTGATGCCGCAATGACTAAGTCAATCCAATCCTGAAAAAGAAATGCACAGGCAAACAGGTGCTGCTAAACACTACTTTTAGAGATGATTAGTGGACCACCATGGAATATCAGATAGAGAATCAGGAAGGCAATCTATTCCCAGGGAGCAGCAGAAAGATCTCTGTTAAAGACTTCTATAGGAAGACGATTTGAAGATTGAGCTGATCCTGAAATTAAAGAAAAATCTACTGGTCTTGCAACAAGCTTTTAAAAATAATTATTATAAGAATCATACTCTATTTGGTCATCTTAGCAACTAATACGGTTCTTGCTGAGAAAACACCAGCTGGAGTGCAGTGTTACTCGTACATTAAGAAATCAAAGATAAGATAAGCTATTATCATAAAATTCCAATCACCTTGCAAGTAATTTTCAATATCAAAGAGAGATTCTACAGATAAATGTACTATAAACACTCAGAATGTAATGTGTTTAAATACCAATCTTGACACGTGGCTAAATGCCATGAACTTTCACAGTAAGTTACATGCATGATTTTCAGAGATGCTATATACCAGTATCTTCTGCAGATTTCAGCTCACTTTGGTAGTACATGGCATACCTGTTACTCTTGATGTTTGCTACCTTATTTGTGTTGATGTGACAATGTCATGAAAGAAAAGTACACCTCATATAAGCATTGTAGGTAGAACGAAGAAGTATTCCAGGTTACTTACCCCACCCATGTTCCAAGCTTTTGCTAGAGTTGCCTGTGCTTCTGCCAGCCTGCTGTCAATTAATATCTTGCCATTTACAGCTAGTATTTCATCCCCTTTCACTATGCCTCCTGGTGAAAAGACCAATATGTTTTACATACACGTAAGCAAAAAAAAATTCTGTTGAGTCCTTTCTGTCCCATATTTATGCAGTATTGAGTATAATGAAAAGTGTCTTCACTAGATGTGAAGGCTTACATTAAAAATTGACATAGACAAGAAAGTTTGCTACAGGCAAAAGCAAAAGGTATTTTTAGGCATGGAAAAGCCACACTAATCTCTTATTGATCATGACCAGTAAGAAACTAGTTCAATAAGATTTTCCATAGTAGCATTTTGCCTGTCTGGGTAATCCATCTATACAGCTTACAAACTGTAGTTGATTGTAGGCTGCTACAGCTATGAAAATGGCAGCATTACTTAAAGACCTGAAGGTACAAGTGGCATTTGTCAAGGGTTTGCAGGACTATCATTCCTTTGCAAGAGCACGTGTAACGTTTAGTCCTTAGAACTGATTCTGACTTGCTAATCTGGAATGAAGCACAATCAGCTAACTGGGACTGGATTTGAAGAGGGGAAAACACAGATGGTAAGGCTTAGCTATAAGAGACCCTCACAACAGTGAAGAGTCAAAGAGAAACAGAGTACTTGAGAGATCAAGTGGCTGAGATGTTTTCACAGCAAGAGTGACTTGAACTTAGGTGCAGGTTGGGACAAGGTCAGCAAAGACAACGTAAGGAGATATTGTCCTGTCCATCTACCTGGTCATCACCAGAGTTCTCAAGGAAAGGATGAGGGATACTGCCTACCAGGAGCAAAGCCTGGAAACGTTGGTATGCATGTTCTTCTGCCTTCCAGAGAGCTAAGCTGTTAGCCAGAAGGCTCTGGCCTTTAGTGGGATTTTAGGAGTAAAGCCAGGTGTTTTACAAGACAAATTACTATTGAAAGTAACATTAAAAACAAAACTAAGCAGTGTAGTGTAGCCATGGTCAGGTAATTGCTTTGCACGTGGAAGTACTGCAAATGTCATTGCTTGGAAATTGTGAAATAATGGAGACCATATTCTGCTTTCCTTAATTAACAGCATACACCAGAGAATCAGCTGGAGGGGGGGTTGGGGTTTTTTTTTTTGTTGTTTTTTGTTTTTTTTTTTTTTTGGTTGGTTGGTTTTTATATCAGACTGGAAAAAGGGGAGTCCTTATTAAGAGAACAGCTCTACGTTTTCAGGCCACGTTATTGAAAATTCTGTAATGATAAAAATACAGCAGCAGTGACCATTTCTTCTTAAACACTACTTATAAATTTTACATAATTATTAATTTAAGCAGCACCCTTCAAACCATGAGCCTCTCTCTGAGCTGCCCTTCCAGCTGAGACAAGAACTTGGCTGTCTTGGACAATCTAAGTGTGCCGCTCAGTACTAGGCATAGCTATGAAGTCAGCCAACAACTCTAAGCCAGCGTAAGGAGCCACTTTGCAGCAGCATTCAAATTCCCCATTGTTACTCACCATGTTTGTCTGCAGCACCACCCTCATAGATGGCAGACACAACTATCTTCCCAATTGGAGAATCAATTCCTCCCTCAACTGCAAGGTCTAATGATCCTTCCTATTAAAAAAGAGTTTTAGTTCAGAAAAGGCTGTTAATTTTTGCTATCAGGAGGAGCTTTATCTTTCCTTCTTCCCAGTAAATGGGACTGTACATTAAAAGCTTACATGAACCCTTTAAATATCAATCAAATAATATAGTATTTACCTTTTTAATTCGTAATAGCCGTACATCTTTTCCCATAATCTGCTCTGGAGTAAACTATGAAAGATATAATGATTAGTCATTTCCACCTTGGAAACACAAAACAATTAAGCTGATCTACGTAGTTTATGGGAGAACAGGGACCTTTCCCACCTCCAAAATAGAGTTAGAGGAAGATCAGAACAGCAGATCATCTTTTCCTGTAAGAAAGCTCCTTTTCAACATGACTAGAAAAGGCAAATACACAAACCCCAGCAAACCAACAAGCAAAAATCTTACCCCCTCCCAGCCCACAAAATCAAGGATGTGTTTTTTCCAGTGTATTTCATATTAAACAGTGAGACATATTTGAATTCTCTCCTTACCATTGAATATGGATCAAAATCTTCCAAATATTTCTGGAAGCCCTGAGAATAAAACAATACTTAATTGTAAAAACATCAGGCTCATGCACACACTTAACACACAAACTCCATTTTATTTATTAGTGACAGAACATATAATTCTGTAAGTTATGAAAGAAGACAGTAAATGGAAAAAAAGCACAGAAAGGCAGCGAATAGTCTGTCCTGACAGTCAGAAGACATTTCAAAACCTTATGACAGATCAGCAGTTTGAGCTGGTCATACCATGGAGCAGTTTTGAGGAATAGTTTACCACCCTGGCAGCTCCGCAGTTCCTCTCTACATCTGACAGAACAGAAACAAATCTTGACAGCATCATGGGCCGGTATGTTCTGCCATACTCTTCTGAGCAACGTTTCTTGGGACTATCACCATGTTGGGCACAGGCAGAAGTGACAGGCTCCAATTCGCCTGTCAGCAATGCTACTTCATGGTGTCTGGGTTGTAGGACCCTCTTCCAGGGGGGGTTCTCTTCTCTCCATCTTTCCATGGAGTTTCAGGGAGTTGGCTCCATACCACAAGCAAACACAGGAGAAAAAACAATTTTGTTTTCATATGGTTCTGGGGAGGACTTAAAAGTTTTGGCAGGAAGTGTCTGAAATGGGGAAGATAATATTGCAGCTAGGTAGAGCAAAATTTAAGGTTTGAGAGGACCCATACCTTCTTAAACTTTCAAAACCTAGTGCATTACCCTTGTCAGACCAACGCTGTTTTTTTATGCGGGAGTTACCTTTTCTGCAAAGATGAGAGTTCCTGAATCAGCAGTCAGGAATCAATGGTGTTTGGGTGGTGTTTTCTTAAGGAGGATTAGTAGTTACTGGGTGAGACTGCATGGGCGATGCTGGAGACTTATAAAAACTCTGTACTTATCCTGCATGTTAAAATAAGGACTTCAGGACTTAACAGAAATTTTTACTGAGGCACCTACATGCTGTATCACTCTTGTGGCTTCAACCTACAATAACCTGGGGATATGGGAACAACGCAGAACCGCACAACCCTTTGCTGACACAGCAAGCAAGCCAATATCTGATGCAGACCAGTGATTCAGTGCATGATCAAGCTTGATATATTCATTATTGCCCTCTTTTCTAGTGGATCCATCTGATGACAAAGTCTATTCCACTTTCAGACTCAGCTAAGCCTTTTTCCACTTGTAAATCAAATGCTCAGCTTAAGATTCCTCTGCTATCTTTAAGGGCTGGCTGTTAAATGACCAAGTTGCAGCAGAACACACTAATGCCTCCTCCTGTTATCATCTTTATCATCTCTCATGGTTGCCTAATTTTGACATGACTATGAATGTTCCTGTGGGGTCAGATGTCATCCTTACCACCACTGCCTCTGATAAAGTCAGTGAGCACTACTACACAGCTCTGCATTAGCAGACCCTTAAACGTATAACAATGCTGCCCATTTGTCTAACCACACTTATACAGACCATGCAACAGTGGTACTGATGACTTGTGTCGACTGGCAGTCATTACACACAGGCATCCTGAATCGTACAGCATGAACTCTGGCTTTCCTGCAGGCTGTCCCTCTCTTCACCTTTTCCCTGAGATCAGAAGACCAACTTAAGCAAATCATGTCCTCATTCTGTGTTTCTTCTGAGACAGAAGAAACATTTGCAAGGGTTGAAGCATGACTTTGTCTCTCCAGGCTCCAGAGAGCTAAATCTTCAGGGCACAACTGCAGAACTTTTGCTTACTGCCACAAGTGTTTTTTTTTCTGTAGGGAAATATGTATTAAAAGCATCTTTTGGGAATAGGAGTGTGAGAGACCTTATTTAGCATTTAAATTAGTATGGGTTGCATTACATTTGTTAACTGCTAACTTTGAGGAACTAAATAAATGGGAATGTGATCACAGACTTCAGCGAGGGTAGAACTTCATCCCGGGGGAAAAAACCCAATCATTCATTCATTTACAAAGTGCATTAATATTATGAATCATTTTACTAAAACTGTAAGAGAAACATTTTACAATGATAGCTACCTAAACAACTAATAGTTTGAATAGCTGAATTTGTATTGACCTTTGGAATCATGGCTGAAGTAGACACTTATGGTCTTGGAGCAAGCAACTTAGAGGAAAGAACTCCAACCTCAGCCAAGTCACTAATTCATTATGTAATCTAAAGGAAGTAATTGAACTCTCTTTGTCCCAGGTCGCCCTCAGGAAAAACAGATGTTGCCCTTGAAGAAAGTTTTCCTAGGAAAATAATTTTTAAATAGGAAAAAAACCCCTAAACCCCACAATAAAAAAACCTGCAAGCAAAGAGTTGATATGATCTGGATCCAATAATGTACAAATACAGCTATGATACAATGAAGACATCCACTGAACTCTAATAAATCTTCCCAGAAATGGGCATCACAAATTTGGAGAGCAGAGAGTGCACTCCATATCCAAAAGCAGGGACTACTGAACCAAGCAACACCGAGCGGAAACCACAGTGCTAAGCCTACCCTCCCACTACTCAGGACATCTCAGGTGAAAGAGTTAAGACCATTCTAATCCTTTCTTGACTTACAATAACATTCACAGGACTGAATATAAGTAGAATTTGGAACATTAAAGTGTTTGATTGCACTGAAACAACTATCTGTCTGGACTTCTAGATGAAAGGTAAAGTTACTACTTAAAAAAAAACAAACCCAAAACAAAACAAGAAGAAAACACAAGCACCTAAGCCAACGTACTGCTCACTAAAGTTTCTAGCATCAATAGTCAACAGCAACTGAGACCTGACCGCAATAAACGAAAAAGAAGAATTGAAAGAGAAACCCATGGCCAGATATAACAAAGATTTCAAAAAACCACATTTGCTGAGAACACAACTGTTATATAGACAGAACATACTAACATTCAATGGCAACTGAACAATCTCAAAGTTTCATTTATCTCAGTCAAATCCAGTTTTCCCTTCTAGATCTAGATTGAAACTGATTAAAAAGAAAAAAATCATTAATAATGTTAATGGTTTACCACTCAAAAGCTCACACTGTGAGCTCACAACTTTGCACCAACATTTTCATATGACATCGGAATGCATCTAACTTTGAAGGTGTTTTGCACAGAAACTGGCACATTTAACAGCAGCAGAGAAGTTATGCACAAAGTTCACTTCTTCAAGGGACCATCTATTGAACTTCCAGTCAACCAAAGAGGAAGAGATGAAAACTTCATCGCTATGACACAGGAAAGCAATAAAAGTAGTAAAACATCAGAAAAATCCTACACAATACAGAAAGGCTATATGAAAAAGTGCTTTCCACCACCATAGTTATTGATTTCCTATCAATAACTATGTTATGATAATAGCTCTATTTGTTAAACTGAGAAAATATTTTATTAGTGAAATCATCGCAACTGGAGACTAAAAGAAACAAGGAAACCTTAGGAACATTAAAAAAAATGCCAGCATCAGATCAGTTATCAGTGTTCAACTATCTTAAAGATTTCACTAACCATATAAGTAGGTACAGATGGTTCAACCTGAAGGATTTACTGTCCTCTCATTCTTCATCTGTCTAGACTTGCAGGAGCCACAGGCACACACTGAAAGTTTACAAAGACTAGCAGTTTTCATGCACTAGAGCTATCTTGCATCCTCTGTTTTAGAAACTGAGCAACAGGATTAGAAAGGAAAGTTTTAAATCTACGATCAGTCAAAACAAGAAGTACCACACAAAACATGAAAAATGTTATTTTACTTGGTTTTTGTTAGATCTAAATGATGAATTGTAAACCACCATCCTTTTAAACATCTCTTGTGGCTGCAAAAGAAAGAAAATTGCCAAACCAGATATTAACTTTTTGCTGTAAATAAGTTATCACCTACTCACAAATAACCTCACTGCTTTTTTTGCTGTTCTAGGGACTGAATCACACTTGCACTTGTTAGTGCTTGTTCCCTATACCATTGCAAAATGAGAGAACACACACAATGAAATAGTACTGAATACAAAAAGGAAAGAATTCTAGAGCAGCTACATAAATAATGCACATTTTCATACCAGAAGATTTCTTAAAAATATTTTCCATGACTCCTTTTATCCCTAATTTCTACCAAACAGTGCTGGGGTCTCTTTGCCGTGATTTTTGAAAAAATAATTGAAAAAAAAAAATGGACAAAATGCTAGACAAGTAATTTCCGAAATATTGAAAAGTCATGATAAATATATGTTATACATTTAAGATTTGGTCTCCTACCAGGGATTTCCTATACTGAAAGGCAAATTCCATTATTAAATTCCTCATGAAGTTGATGAGCTGAAAGAAAAGATATGTGTATTCGGGCTCATCCTGAAAGAAGCAATTACCTAAATACTCATTACTAGTACAGGTTCTTTCTACTTAAAGAAAAATTCCTCTTGAATTTAATTGACTTATTTCTGAGTGATCTTGCTTCAATTTGGATATCTACAAGTAATTTCACAATGTTGATTAATAACTGCTGGATTTTATTTTATTGTGTTGGGCTTCAATGATTTTAATCCTGTATGGATTCTGTTTTTCTTTCGCTTCCAGTGCATTCACAAAATGGTACACTGTAGTTTGGAATCACTTAAAATAAAGAACCTCTTATTATGTTCGAAAAATTTTCAAAAATAAAATGGGCTAAAAAAAATTTATACAAAACACTCCTCACACCTCTCCAGCCTCCACTCAAAACCCTGCATCAAATCAGGTAACATATCTGAGTCTTATGAAACAAGAACAACTTTCTACAGACTGAACCATGGTATTTACATTTCCAAACTCACTTTGCTTTAACGCAAATCACTATATATCAGTTTCACTACTGATTCTATCAGTGTCCTATAGTCATACCATTACTTGGAAAAATATATCTATTGCTGAGTTAATGAAAGATTTGTGGTCTGCATATAATTAATACAAAGACCGAGTTTTTGTCTTGAAGGACTTTTGGGCAAGTCTGGCAAGATTTTCCACAAAACTTTTCAGCCCCTCTCTAGCTACTTAGAAAAAAAAAATTATTTCCTTTTCAACAGAGATGGTTTTGGAATAGCTATGGCCAACAATAACCGAAATTTCCAATCATTGCATGTCTTGCCATGCAGTATCTAAGCACCTGTCTCAGGTCCCCTGACTGCAGTCCTGCAGAATCAGGCTTCAAATCTTGCAAATTAGAGGAAAGCTTAAATATTCATTCTTCCTTTCAGAAATGCTGCATCCAACCACAAAGGAGTGAGGGAGGAAAAATTTTTAGTAGCAGCAAGCGCATCAAAGCCTTCTAACTCACACAACAGGGTGTTTGTGATAGGTGGGAGAGCAGAAACTAATATTCATGTTGGTTTTGCTTCTCTGAAAACCCCACCGCTAAATCATAACAATCCTCTCCTGTTCTGAGCCAAAATTTAATTAGCTTTGCCATGAGTGTATTCCATTTCACTCTAGTACAGCAGAGGCAAACAGTTCACACCGATTTTTGACTCAGAGCAGCCCTCGGCATTCAAGGCTACACTCAAGGTTTAATCCTCACCCATCACTTCCCTTTTTATAAGTGAGAAAAAAATTAATTTTCATGAACTGTTAAAAGACCTGGGAGTTCTGACCTGAATGCAGTTAATATGAAAACTTAAGTCACAACAGACTTCACTGTTCCTATCTGGCCCAACTACCTCCCAGATAACAGGAATGTTTTACCCATTCTTGCATGTTTGTTTTATTCTTATGTTCATGCTTTTCATCTTCTTTACTGGTGAATTCCTTGAGTATAGGCTCATTTGTTTAGCTGTTTGAATCAAGTAAATCCATCAAGATCAGTTTCTAGAGTTTGGTACTCAGGACAGCTAAATTCAGATAAAAACAAGGTAGAAGAAATTATGTGCATTATGTCATATTAAGACATAAAGACTGGAGTTCCATAAGGTGTGTGAAATCTAGCAAGACAAGAAATAGGGTAGCAAAAGATCCTTTGCCTTTGGTGATACTTCCCTTCACTAGGAGAAGCTGAACCAGTCCTGTATCTGAACCATTGACTTAAATAAGGGCATCCCCCTCCCCGCCCCGCAAACAAACAAAAAAACATTCCTTCCACATGAAATCAAATTATAACTCTTATACGTGTCTGGAGACAGGCAGGTACCTCCTTGTCTGTTTTGTCATACACTGGCCTTTTCATTATTTACCTAATAGAAGTAGCCTCCCTCTTTACTTCAGTATCCATGCCAGTCTTACTCCACATACTACCGTGACTTCACTGCAGCCAGGGTGAGTACTCTTCACTGAATTGTCATAAAAGGAAGTAAGAGGTAACAGGTCTACAACAATTTATAGACATGTTTCTCTCAAAGTCCTATCAGAATATTGCTCCCACTGAAACTTCCAACTAATATAACTTAGATCTTCCAACTAATATAAGGCAGTTTGGGAATGAAGATGATTGACATCTGAAACATTTTAGCAGACTTGTGATTCGGAAGATGCACATGCGTGCATAACAAAACGTAAGAAATTTCCCTAAGGAGGCGGATCTTATTGCTGATTTCTCAAATGAATTGTAAGCAGTGAGCAACAAAAAACACAAGCAACATTTTCAGTTTGTACCAAGACTGTCTGATCACACATAAGGGTATCATCAATTTTGCAAACTAGTTTAAATTTGCACACCAGGCATTTATTTTCAAGAGCTAGATTATATTAACTGCAGATTATGATTTTACTCTGTTCATTCCTACCCTAAGGAATTTAAAATTGCTTAGAGATGCTGAATTACTGAACACAATCAAAATGAAAGCTCCAAAGCTCCAGTGCATACAATTGAAGGACATATCTACACTGGAGGGATTTGAATTTATTTTTAGTTCATGTACCTGCCTTCTCTTGAGCAACTTATAAAAACTGCTTTCATTTATCATTTCAATCCATTTATAATACAGAAGTTTCAAGACAACTACGTCTGTGGGAAAACTGGTTACTAAGTATCACTACAATTTGTTCAAACTGTAACTGGGAAAATAAAGGAACAAGAGTATCTAAATTATTAAAGCAGAAGATGACAACGGAAAGTCCATCCCACTTTAATGAAAGACAGCTAGGAATATTGTGCCCATCATTTATTGTCAGATATAGCATAAGCTTGTAATTAAATAAGTGAAATGCAAATGTGATGTATTTTTTCCATCGCTTAGAAAGCTCACGTTGCAATACACTGCCTTGCTCATATAAATGTACATATACACACATGTCCACACACATGCATGTAACAGGCACAGAGCTCTAATCGCAACAGCATAAGTCATGATGACCCTCGAGAATAAATACTACTAATTGGTCCATCAGCTATCTCAGACAAATTTTCAGGGCTGTCATTTGGGAGTTATCAACTGTCGGAGCAGTATTTCTCTTTTTTTTCCAGTAAGCCTTGGCTCACCTTCTCTCACATACCACGATTTCCAAAGATGCTACATGGTTGGTCCTAAAATATTTAGCCTAAGGGTTTTTTCTTCATTTACATTTGAAATAGAAATTGAAAAGAAATAAGAAAAAGAATCTGATTGTGAGTCAACTTTGCAGTAGACTGCATGACCAAGTATACTGGAGTCTAAGATATAACAATGAACTTTTTTCCCTCTGGAAATCATAGAATAGTTTGGGTTGGAAGGGACCTTTGAAGGTCATCTAGTCCAAGCCCCCTACAATGAGCAGGGACACCTTCAACTAGATCAGGTTGCTCAGAGCCCCGTCCAACCTGACCTTGAATGTTTCCA